AAGCTGAGAATATTTATAGGAATACAAAATACACAACACTCAACAAGCTGAAATTCACATGCCCTTGCATCCAGTCAGAGATCCTTGGCACACAGGCTGCAAGAAAGCGTGGCTCCCGGTGAGAATGATAACAATCAATTGAGACTGACCTGGAACCAGCAGACAACAACATAACATTAACAGCTGTTGTACCTGAATCACAACATTCAATGGGTTAATTAGAGACACAGAACTTCTAGAGATGAAGATTACAATATCTAATATGAAAAATACACTGAATGGGGATTAATGACAGTTGGGACATATCATGAGGAAAAAAAGTAGTGAAGTTAAAATACAGACAGAAAAAATAAATTTAAGGAATGCAAAGAGCATTTGTGGGAAGTGTCAACAACATAATATATGTGTAATTTGGAATCCTCAAGGGAGAGGAGAGAGAGAAAAGAAACAGAAAAAAATACTTGAAGAAATAATGGCCCCAATTTTTCCAAATTTAATAAAAAATATAAATTCACAGATATAAGAAGATCAATACAGCTCAAGCACAAAAACTACGAAGAAAACCACACAAAGGCACATCATTATCACATTGCTCAAAAACCAGTAATAAAGAGAAAGACTTGAAGCAGCCAGAGAAAAAAGACACATTATGTACAAGAGGAACAAAGCAGACCTCTTGCCTGGAGAAGACAGTGGAACATTTTGAAAGTATGCAATAAAAAATTCTGTCAACCTAGAATTCTATATCAAGTGAAAATATTGTTCAAAAATGAAAGGGAAATATAAACTTTTTTAGACAAACAACAGCTGAAAGAATTCATTAAAAGTAGATCTATGTCTATTTTATTTATTTATTTATTTATTTAATTAATTAATTCAGTCCCTGTAGGAACTGTCAAAAACTGCCAATGCTGACTACACTGCAAGTCGTCATGGCAGTGTATTGGGAGAAGCTTTCAATTGGCAATAACCGCGCCTCAGATAAACCTCATTGGCTGCGACACTGCCCCTGCGCAGAGCTGTTTAAAGACTGTCAGAGTAAGTCCTTCAGACAGAAGAAGAATGACATCAGATGGAGCAAACAGTATTACTAACAGAATACACATTATTTTCAAGTGCACAGGAAATGTTTACATAAGCCATGCCATAAAACAAGTCTCAATAAATTACAAAGACTATATTCTCTGACCACAAGGGAATTAAATTAAAAATCAGCAACAGAAAGATAGCTATGAAATCCCTAAACATTTTACACTCAATACAATTCTAAGGCTGAGCGCGGTGGCTCATGCCTGTAATCCTATCGCTCTGGGAGGCCAAGGGGGCAGATGGTTTGAGCTCAGGAGTTTGAGACCAGTCTCAGCAAGTCTCTTTAGTAGAGACCCCATCTCTACTAAACATAGAAAGTAATTAATTGGCCAACTAAAAATATATAGAAAAAAATTAGCCGGGTATGGTGGCGCCTGACTGTAGTCCCAGCTACTCGGGAGGCTGAGGCAGGAGGATCGCTTTAGCCCAGGAGTTTGAGGTTGCTGTGAGCTAGGCTGACGCCACAGCACTCTAGGAGGCAACAAGAGTAAGACTCTGTCTCAAAAAATAATAATAATAAGAAGAATACAATTCTAAATAACCCATGGGGGAAAGAATAAATCAACAGTAAAATTAGAAAATATTCTGAACTGAACGAAAGTGAAAACACAGCATATCAAAACTTGAAGGATGCAAGTAAACCAGAAATCTATAGCACTACATGCCTGTGTTAGAAAAGAAGAAATATCTCAAATCAATAACCTCAGATTACATCTTAAAAAATAAGAGAAAGAAGAGCAAATTAAGCCCAAATAAGCACAGAAAGAAAATAATAGGGATCAAAGAGGAAATCAATAAACTAGAAAACAGAAACATTACAGAGGATCAGTACGATTGATAAACTTCTAGCCAACCTGATTAGAATGAAAGAGGGGGCCGGGCGCGGTGGCTCACGCCTGTAATCCTAGCACCCTGGGAGGCCGAGGCGGGCGGAAGATTTGAGCTCAGGAGTCCAGACCAGCCTGAGCAAGAGCAAGACCCCATTTCTACTAAAACTAGAAAGAAATTAGCTAGACAACTAAACATATGTAGAAAAAATTAGCCAGGCATAGTGGCACATGCCTGTAGTCCCAGTTACTGGGGAGGCTGAGGCAGAAGGATCACTTAAGCCTAAGAGTTTGAGGTTGCTGTGAGCTAGGCTGATGCACAGCACACACAAAAAAAGCAGAATGAAAGAGGGAAGACACAAATTACCAAAACCAGGAATGATAGAGGTTATATCTTTACAAATTTTACAGATATTTGAAGGATAATAAAGTAGTATTATGAAAAACTTTGTCTATACATTTGAAAACCTAGATAAAATGTACAAATTCCTTGAAAGCCACAAACTACCAAAGATGACTCAAGAAGAAATAGATAACCTAAATAGCATTATATTCATTAAAGGAATTAAATGTGTAGTTATAAACTCGCCTCAAAGGAAACTCCAAGCCCGATAGTTTCACTGGGGAATTCTACAAAACACTCAAGGAAGAAATAATAATAATTTTATACACACTAATCCAAAAAATTGAAGTGGAGAGACTACTTCTTAACTACTTCTAGGAGGCTATGATTATGCTGATATCAAAACCAGACAAAGACATTATAAGAAAAGAAAACAATAGATAAAAATCTTTAATGAATATAGATGCAAAAATTTTAAACAAAAGTTTAGCAAATAAAATTCAACAATTTATAAAAATATTAATACATTTTGACCAATAGGGGTTTATTCTGAGAAGACAAGGTTCATTATTTTTACCTTCTAAAATCAATGAAATTTACCATATTTAGTGAGTTGAATAGTGTTCCCACAAAACTCATGTCCATCCATGAACCTGAGAATGTGACATTGTTTGAAAATAGTGGCTCTAGAGATATAATTATTAATAGTTATGGATCTCAAGATGAAATCATCCTGAATTCAGGGTGGGCCCTAAATGCACTGACTGCTGTCCCTACGAGAAGAGCAGAGGCGAGGTCACAGAGAAACCTGGAGACGGCGGCCACGTGGGGACGGTGGCCACGTGGGGACGGAGGCTGGAGCTACGTCGCCACTCTCCAAGGAACACTGACGCCACTAGAAGTGGAAAGGCAGGAAGGCTCTTCCTCAGAGCTTTGAGAGTGAGCATGGCCCTGCTAAGCCTCTGTAACCATGTGAGAATAAATTTCTGTGTTTTTTAAGCCACCAAGTTTACCGTGACATGTCACGACAGCCCTAGGAAACTGGTATAACACACTAAGAAACTAAAAACAAAACACACAAAACAAAAAATACCCCCATATCTCAGCAAACTGGGAATAGAAGGGAATTCCTCACCCTGATAAAGGGCGTTATGGAAAGCCAGCTAACATAATATTAATGGCGATATATGGAATGCTTCACCCCAACAGCCAGGAAGATGACAAGGATGTTCACTCTCATCACTTTGCCCAAGATTGTACTAGTGGTTCTAGTACAATCTAGTACATGCCAGGGCAATGAAGCATGAAAAAGAAATAAGAGTCTTCCACATAGGAAAGAAGAAGAAAAACTGGCTTTATCCACAGGTGGCATGATACACTAAAGAGAAAAGATGATGAAATTTATAAAAAGAAAACTACTAGAACTCATAAGTGGGTTTAGCAAGGTTACAGAATTCAAAATAAATATACAAAAATTAATTATATTTCTACATACCAGGATTGGAAAACAAGATATTGAAATTAAACACAAATATCATTTAAAATAGCATTAAGGGCCAGGCACGGTGGCTTAACGCCTATAATCCTAGTACTCTGGGCGGCCGCGGCAGGCAGATTGCTCAAGGTCAGGAGTTCAAAACCAGCCTGAGCAAGAGTGAAACCCCGTCTCTACTAAAAAAAAAAATAGAAAGAAAGTAATTGGCCAACTAAAAATATATAGAAAAAATTAGCCAGGCATGGTGGCGCATGCCTGTAGTCCCAGCTACTCGGGAGGCTGAGGCAGGAGGATTGTTTGAGCCCAGGAGTTTGAGGTTGCTGTGAGCTAGGCTGACGCCACGGCACTCTAGCCAGGGCAATAGAGTGAGGCTCTGTCTCAAAATAATAAATAAATAAACTAAAAAAACAAAATAGCATTAAGAACATGACAAATCTGACAAAAGATGTGAAAAGATGACCTATATATTAGCACTACAAAACATTCATGAGAGAAATTAAAGAATAGCTAAATAAATGGAGAGATATACTTTGTGTGTTAGAAGACTATATTGTTGCGATGTCAGTTCTACTGACATTGATTTATAGATTCAGTGCAATTTCAGTCATAATCCCAGGAAGATTTTTTTGTTGAAATTGACAAGATGATTCTAAAATTCATATGGAGATTTGATTAATTCACATTCTATGCCTATATCAAAACAACATATGTACCCTATAAGGATATACAACTACTTTGTACCCATAATAATTTAAAAAATTTGTATGAAAATGCAAAAAACCTAGAATAGCTAAAGTAACTTTTAGAACAATGAAGTTGAAGGGCTAACCATACCTGATTTCAGGTCTTTGAAAGTTACAGCAATCAAGACAGTGTGATATTAGCCTAAAGATGTCATCTTTCGGATTATTTGAAAATTTTTCAGTATTCCATTTTAATTTATCTATATGTTCCTGATAACGGTCTCTATAGTTTTTTTAGTGGTTATCCTAGAGATTATGATATGCGTATGTAACTTTTCACAGTCTTCTCAGAATCAACATTTTAACTTCAAGCAGAAAAGAGAAAACTACATGCTCTCCCCTGACATTGTGGCTGTCTTATGCTCTGTATTTAGATGCATTAGAACCTCTCACACAAAGCTATAAATTCTACTTTTGACATCACACAGGTTTTAAAGTGTTTTAAAGAATCTAACAAAAGAATAACCTATTATATTTACTGCATAATTACCATTCTTGCTGCTCTTTATTCCTGATGTTCCAAGTTTCCTTTTCATATCATCTCCCTTCTGTCTGAAAAAAATTCCTCTAGTGATTCTTTCAGAGCTAGTGTACTGGTGACAAATTATCTTAGTTTCCCTTCCTCAGAGAATGTCTTTGTCTCACCTCATTTCTGAAGGATATTTTTGCTGGATCCATGTGGGGTTCCATGATGAGTAATTCTTTCAACAGTTTAACAACAGTCTTCCATTCCCTTCTGTGGTCCACGGTTTCTGATGTGAAACCTGCAGTAATCTGAATGGACGTTTCCCTCTAAAAGTGTGTCCTTTTTCTCTAGCTGTTTTTAAGATATATTTCTTCTTTTTTTCCTTTTTTTTTTTTTTTTTTTTTTTTTTTTGTGACAGAGTCTCCCTCACTCTGTTGCCCGGGCTAGAGTGCCGTGGCATCAGCCTAGCTCACAGCAACCTCAGACTCCTGGGCTCTAGTGATCCTTCTGCCTCAGCCTCCCGAGGAGCTGGGACTACAGGCATGCACCACCATGCTCGGCTAATTTTTTCTATATATTTTTAGTTGGCCAATTAATTTCTTTCTATTTTTAGTAGAGACGGGATCTCGCTCTTACTCGGGTCTCGAACGAACTCCTGACCTTGAGTGATCTGCCTGCCTTCAGCCTCCCAGGGTGCTAGGATTACAGGCGTGAGCCACTGCACCTGGCCTAAGATATATTTCTTTAGCTTACAGCAATTTATGATATGTCTGGGCATAGATTTCTTTAAGATTATCCTGGTCATGGTTTGCTTAGCTTCTTAAACTTGTAAGTTTACTGTTTTTGCCAAATGTTGCAAGTTTTTGGCCATATTTTTCTGATTTTTTTGCACTCCTCACTCTTTCTCCTTTTCTTTTGGAACTATGATGACATGAATGTTAGACCTTTTGCTATTTTCCCATAGGCTCCTGAGGCTCTGTTCATTTCTTCTACATTTTTTCTTCTCTGTTGTTCATTGTGGATAATTTCTATTGCTTTGTCTTCAAATTCAGTAATTCCTTTCCTAGTCTGTGAATTTCTTTATGTTAGTTATTGTATTTTTAAGTTCTAAAATTTCCAATTTTATTTTATTTTATTTCCAATTTCTTTTTAATATCATCTATTTCTTTCCTGAGACTTCTGTCTTTCCATTCATTCCAAGGGTTGCTTGCCCTTACTTTCCAGAACATGAATACTGTAGTCACTTTAAAATTTTCTTCTAATAACATCCATGTCATCTCTGGGTTGGCATCTGTTGACTGTCTTTTCCCTTGAGAACTGTCAAGATTTTCCCAGTTCTTTGTATGTCGAGCTATCTTGTATTGTCTCTTGGACATTCTGAATTATTGCATTGTGGAACTCTAAGTCTTGTTTAAATCTTACAGACAATATTGAGTTTTTGTTTGCATGTTTTAGCAGTCAAGTGTCCACCTGCTTTTGGAAGGCTGTGGTTCCAATCTCAGGTTAGTTTTCAAAGCCTTTGTGGTGGCATTATATTTATCTTTGTCCTGTGTGTGCACAGTCACATGCTAATCTGGGACCTGAACAGCGGTCTGCCCTGTAATTTAGATTTCAAAGCCATCGCTTCGATGTTTATTTATTTATTTAACATAGAGTCTCACTCTTACCCGGACTAGAGTGCCCTGGTGTCAGCCTAGCTCACAGCAACCTCAAACTCCTGGGCTCAAGCGATCCTTCTGCCTCGGCCTCCCAAGCAGCTAGGACTACAGGCATGCTCCACCACGCCTGGCTAACTTTTTCTATCTTTAGTAGAGACGGGGTCTCACTCTTGCTCAGACTGGTCCCGAACTCCTGACCTCAAGTGATCCTCCCATCTTGGCCTCCCAGAGTGGGAGTAGGATCACAGGCGCCCGGCCTCCTTTGATGTTTAGGGTCAGATCCATGCATGCACATGCACAGCTAAGAGTTGAGTCCAAGAGCTCATACACAATTTTATGAGGATTAGATGGATTTTTCAAGCTCCTTCCTTTAAGTGAGCTCTCCAACACTTTTCTGCTTCCTGTCAACCCTGCACACACATACAGAAAACTTTCTGGGTTTCTAACTAGAACACTGGGACTTTAGTTTTCCTGCTGTGTCACATACTTCCTGCAACTGTGTCTGCCTGTGGAGCCAAGCAGTGAGAGGACACAGGAAAAATGCCATGGGGATTCCCTCTATGCTCTGGGGACCACAGTTTCTTTGCTCAGAAAGAGTTTTCCTCCCTCAGAGTTCTAGGTACCTTCCCAGCTGCCACTGCTGCTGTCCCGCTGCGAGACTGCTGCGAGTAGGGTGGAAGAGACGGAAACCAACAGACCCTCACTCACCATGCGCGCACGGCCCCTTGCCCTCTCTGTGCGTCGGCAGTTTCTTTCTTCTTTCTTTCTTTCTTTCTTTCTTTCTTTCTTTCTTTCTTTCTTTCTTTCTTTCTTTCTTTCTTTCTTTCTTTCTTTCTTTCTTTCTTTCTTTTCTTCTTTTTTTTTTTTAAGGCAGAGTCTCACTGTGTTGCCCAGGCTAGAGTGCCGTGGCGTCAGCCTAGCTCACAGCAACCTCAAACTCCTGGGCTCAAGCGATCCTCCTGCCTCAGCCTCCTGAGCAGCTGGGACTACAGGCATGTGCCACCATGCCCGGCTAATTTTGTCTATATATTTTTAGTTGGCCAAATAATTTCTTTCTATTTTTAGTAGAGACGGGGTCTCGCTCTTGCTCAGGCTGGTTTTGAACTCCTGACCTTGAGCAATCCTCTGGCCTCAGCCTCCTAGAGTGCTAGGATTACAGGCCTGAGCCACCGTGCCCGGCCTCCATCAGCAGTTTCTATTCACAGCCAACGCACACATCTGCGTTTATGCCGCCTTTGAGTCTAGGCCAGGAAATACCAAAGGGAAATATTAATAAAAGTGGAAGGGAGACTCGCATTAGTTCAGTGGTATTTAGTCATCTGTGTTCTTGCCTAATACATATGCTACATTTTTTTTTTTTAAATTAGACTATTTGTTAGAGCAATTTTAGGTTCACATAAAAATTGACTGGAAATTTCTGTGCATGGCACAGAAAGTGCCATGCACCATCACCCCCATCCCCATGCACAGCCTCTCTGCTCTTAACACCCTGCCCCAGAGTGGTCCATCATCATCACCCAAAGTCTGTGGTTTACATTAGAACTTACTCTAGATGTCGTGCATTCTATGGATTTTCACAAATGTACAGTGACATGTGACTGCCACCATAGTATTAATATTACACAGAACAGTTTCACTCCTGCAAAAGTCCTCTGTGCTCTGACTGTTCATCCCTCCCATCACCCTAAGCCCTGGTGGCCACTGATCCTTTTATTGGCTCCATAGTTTTGCATTTTCTACAATTTCATGTAGCTGGAATCATACAGGATGTAGCTTTCTCAGATTGGCTTCTTTCATTTATTAATATGTTTCCTCCATGTCTTTCCATGGCTTGATGGACTATTTCTTTTGAGCACTGAATAATATTTCATTGTCTGAATGCACCGAAGTTTCTTCATCCTTTCACTTATTGAAGAACATCTTGGATGCTTTCAAGTTTTGGAAATTATGAAAACATATCCTATAAATATTTGTTTTTATTGAACATAAGTTTTCTTCATGTGGATAAATACTGAGTGTGATTGGTCGGTTGTATGGTAAGAATGTGATTAGTTTTATGAAAAATTGCCAAACTGTCTTCCAAAGTGGCTGTACCATTCTGCATTCCTACCAGCCACAAATGAAATTTCCTTTTGCTCCACATCCTCATCAGCATTTGGTATTGTCACTGTTTTGGATTTTGGCCATTTTAATAAGTGTGTTGTGGTATCTCACTATTGTTTTAATTTGCAATTCCCTAATGACATATAACTAGGGGCATCTTTTCATATGCTTATTTTCCACCTTCTAGGTAATCTTTGGTGAAGTGTCTGTCCAGGTCTTTTGCCCATTTTTAAAATTGGATTGTTCATTTTCTTCTTGTTTTTGTTATATTTTGGATAATAGCCCTTTTTCACATATTTGTTTTACAAATATTTTCTGCCAATCTATGGCTTGTCTTCTCTTTCTTTTGATAGTGTCTTTTGCAGAAGATAAGTTTTTATTTTTAATGAAGTCCAGCTTATCTGTTCTTTCTTTCATTGATCATGCCTTTTGTGTTCCATCTAAAAAGTCCTCACTGTCCCCTAGATCATCTAGGTTTTCTCCTATGTTGTCTTCTAGGGGTTTCATAGTTTGGCATTTCATTTAAGACTATAATCCATCTTTTAGTTAAGTTTTGGGAAGGATGTAAGGACTGTGCTTGGATTCTTTTTCTCCACATGATGCCCATCACCATGTGATGAAGACTGTCATTGCTCCATGGTATTGCCTGTGCCCCTTTGTCAAGTATTCGTTGACTATATTTGTGTGGGTGTATTTCTGGTCTCTCTATTCTTTTCCATTGATCTATTTCTTCTTTCACCACCACCACCCTGCCTTGATTGCTGCAGCTTTATAGTAACCTTGATATTGGGTAGTGTCAGTCTTGCAACTTTGTTCTTCTCCTTCAACATCATGGTGTGGTTCTGGGCCTTCTGCCTCTCCATCTAAACTTTTGAGTCAATTTGTTGTTATGTGCAAAATAATTTATTGGGATTTTTTACTGTGATTGCATTTAATCTATAGCTCAAGTTGGGAAGAATTGATGCTATGGTTTGAAAGTTTATGTCCCCACAAAATCCATATATTAATACATAATACACAATGCAATAGTATTCAAAGGTGGGGCCTTTGGAAGGTGATTAACTCATGAGAGCTCTGCCTTCATGGATGAGATTAGTACCCTTAGAAAGGAGGCTGGGAGTCTTTTTACAAGGCTTGTCTGCCCTTTCTACTATGTGAAGACACAGTTAGAAGGTGCCATCTATGAAGAATGGGCTCTCACCAGACACCTAATCTGCCGGTCTCTTGATCTTGGATTTCCTAGTCTCCAGAACTTTCAGCAATGAATTCTGTTCCTTATGAATCATCCAGTTTAAGGTATTTTGGAATAGCGGCCCAAACAGACTAAGACAACTGACATCTTTTTTATTTTTTTGTTGAGACAGAGTCTCATTCTGTTGGCCGGTCTAGAGTGCTGTGATGTCAGCCTAGCTCACAGCAACCTCAAACTCCTGGGCTCAAGTGATCTTCCTGCCTCAGACTCCCGAGTAACTACTCAGTCCTCCATAGTAGGAGAACTACGGGCATGCACCACTATGCCTGGCTATTTTTTTCTCTATATTTTTAGTTGTCCAGCTAATTCAGCTAATTTCTTTCTATTTTTAGTAGAGTCAGGGTCTCACTCTTGCTCAGGCTGGTCTCGAACTCCTGAGCTCAAATGATTCACCCGCCTCGGCCTCCCAGAGTGCTAGGATTACAGGCGTGAGCCATCATGCCCAGCAACAACTGACATCTTGACAATATTGAGTCTTCCTATCCATAAATATGGAATATCTCTCAATTTATTTAGTTCTTTGCTTTCTTTCATTAGCATTTTGTGGTTTTCCTCATATAGAACTTATACACATTTTGTTAGATTAATACCTAAATTGGCTGGGTGCAGTCACTCACTCCTGTAATCCCAGAACTTTGGGAAGCCAAGGCAAGAGGATCACTTGAACCCAGGGGTTTGAGATCAGCCTGAGCAACATAACGGCACCCTGTCTCTACAAAAAATAAAAATAATTTAGCTGGGCATGGTGGTGCACAACTATACTATAGTCCCAGCTACTTGGAAGACTTAGGCAGAAGGATTGTTTGAGCCCAGGAATTCAAGGTTCTAGTTAACTATGATCACACACTGCACTCCATCCTGGACAACAGAGCAAGACCCTATCTCAAAACAAACAAACAAAAAAACTCCAAACAAACAAACAAACAAAAATGAAGATTTATACCTAATTATTTTATTTTCTTGGTGTTAATGTAAATGGTATTTTTTTTTTTAACTTTCAAATTCTACTTGTTTATTGTTACTACATAAGAAAGCATTCACTTTTTTATATTAACCTTGTGTCCTGAATCTTTGCTATAATCACTTATTATTTCCAGGAGTTTTTGTTGTTGTTGTTGTTGATTCTTTCAGATTTTTTTTTTTTTTTTGAGACAAAGTCTCACTTTGTTGCCGAGGCTAGAGTGAGTGTCATGGCATCAGCCTAGCTCACAGAAACCTCAAACTTCTGGCCTCAAGCAATCCTGCTGCCTCAGCCTCCCGGGTAGCTGGGACTACAGGCATGTGCCACCATGCCCGGCTAATTTTTTTTTCTATATATATTAGTTGGCCAATTAATTTCTTTCTATTTATAGTAGAGACGGGGTCTCGCTCTTGCTCAGGCTGGTTTCGAACTCCTCACCTCGAGCAATCTGCCCGCCTCAGCCTCCCAGAGAGCGAGGATTACAGGCGTGAGCCACCGTGCCCGCCTCTTTCAGATTTTCTACATAGACAATCATGTTAACTATTAACAAAAAAAAAAAAAAAAGTTTTATTTCTTCCTTCCTAATCTGTATCCTTTTCAGTCCCTGTTATTATCTTATTACATTAACAAGAACTTCCAGTATGACATTGAAAAGGAGTGCTGAATGGGGATATCCCTGCCTTGTTCCTGATCTTAGTGGGAAACTTCTAGCTTCTTATCATTAAGTATGATGTTAGCTACAAGGTTTTTTTGTAGACATTCTTCATCAAGTTATGGATAATTTTTTTTGCATCTACTCATATGATTTTCCTTCTTTAGTCTGTTGATATAATGAATTATATTAATTGGTTTTTGAATATTGAATCAATCTTGCATACTTGGTCAAGGTGTATAATTATTTTTATACACTGTTGGATTTGATTTGCTAATATTTTTTAAGGATTTTTGCATATATCTTCATGAGAGATATTGGTCTTCAGTTTTATTTTCTTATACCATCATTGTTTGGTTTTGGTGTTCGGGTAATGCTGGCCTTATAGAATGAGGAAGTTAGGAAGTTTTCCCTCTGCTTCTAACTTCTGGAAGAGATGGTAGAGAATTATTACAATTATTATTACAATTTCTTCCCTAAATGTTTGGTAGAATTCACCAGTGAACCCATCTAGGAATGGTGCTTTTTATTTTATAAGGTTATTAGTAATTGATTCAATTTTTAAATTAATATAGGACTATTCAGATTGTCTATTTCTTCTTGTATAAGTTTTAGAAGATTATCTTTTTCAATGAATTGGTCCATTTCATCTAGGTTAACAAATTTGTGGGTTTAGAGTTGTGCAGAATATTCCTTTATTATCCTTTTAATGTCCATGAAGTCTGTAGTGATGTTCCTGTTTCATTTCTGATATTAGTAATTTGTGTCTTCTCTCTTTTTTTCCGTAGTTAACATGGCTAGATGTGTATAAATTTTACTGATCTTTTCAAAGAACCAGCTCATTTTCTTTACTGATTTCCTATTTCCAATCATTGTTTTCTGTTCTAATTCTTAGTATTTCTTTTCTTATGCTTACTTTGGATTTAATTTTTTTTCCTTTTTCTAGTTTCCTAAGGTTGATACATGATTGATTTGAGATCTTTCTTCTTTTCTAAAATATTCATTCAATGCTATAAATTTCCCTCTAAGCATGACTTTCATTGTATCCCACAAATTTTGATAAGTTGTATTTTCAGTTTCCTTTAGTTCTAAGTATTCTTAAATTTCTCTTGAGATTTCTTCTTTGACCCATGTGTTACTGAGAAGTGTGTTAATAATTTGCATATATTGGGGATGTTTTAGGTATCTGTTATTGAAGTTTAATTACTTTGTGACCTAAGAGCATACATTGTATGATTTCTATTCTTTTAAATGTATTAAGGTGTGTCTTATGGCTCAATATGTGATCTGTCTTGGTGAATGTTCCATGGGAACTTGAGAAGACTATGTATTCTGCTGTTGTTGGATAAAGTTGTCCGTAGATGTCAATTATATTCAGTTGTTTGATGGTGCTGTTGAGTTCAGCTGTGTCCTGAATGATTTCCTGCCTGCTGGATCTGCCCTTTTCTGATAGAGTGTTGAAGTCTCCAACTATAATAGTGGATTCATCTTTTTTTCCCTGAAGTTTTTGCCTCACATATTTGGGTGCATTGTTGCTAGGTGCATACACATTAAGGATTGTTACGTTTTCTTGGAGAATTGCCGCCATTCATTATGGAATGCCTCCTCTTTATCCCTGATCATTTATCTTGCTCTGCAGTTTCCTCTGTTTGAAGTTAATATAGTCACTCCATGTTTCTCCCTTGCCTCTACCTTTACTGAGGTATAATTGACAAATGAAAATTATATATATTTAAGATGTACAATGCAATTATTTGATATACATATGCATTGTGAAATGACTACAACAATCAAGTTAATTAACACATCCAGGCTGGGCTTGGGGGCTCACGCCTGTAATCCTAGCACTCTGGGAGGCTGAGGCGGGCGGATTGCTCAAGGTCAGGAGTTCAAAACCAGCCTGAGCAAGAGTGAGACCCTGTCTCTACTATAAATAGAAAGAAATTAATTGGCCAGCTAATATATAGAAAAAATTAGCCAGGCATGGTGGCGCATGCCTGTAGTCCCAGCTACCCGGGAGGCTGAGGTAGAAGGATGGCTTGAGCCCAGGAGTTTGAGGTTGCTGTGAGCTAGGCTGACGCCACAGCACTCAGGCACTCACTCTAGCCTGGGCAACAAAGCAAGACTCTGTCTCAAAAAATAAATTAATTAATTAACACATCCATCACCACACATAGTTACCTTTTTGGGTGTGTGTGTGTGTCTGGTGGCAAGAACACTTAAGATCTTCTCTTTTAGCAAATTTCAAGTCTACAACACAGTATTATTACCTGTAGTTACCATGCTGTATATTAGAGCCCAGGACTTATTCATCTTACGACTGAAAGTTTATGCCTTTGACCAACATTTCCCCATGTCTCCTCCACCCCCTGCCCATCCATGGCAACCACTGTTCCACTCTCTGCTTCTATGAGCTCAACTTCTTTAGATTCCACATTAGGTGAGATCGTGCAGTATTTGTCCTTCCGTGTCTGGCTTACTTCACTTAGCATAATGTCCTCCAGCTCATTCACGTGGTTGCAAATGGCAGGATTTTCTTCTTTTTATGGCTGAATAATATTCCATTGTACGTGTGTATGTGTGTGTGTGTCACATTTTCTTTATCCATTCATATGTGTTGAATACATTAATCCATCAATGGCACTTAGATTGTTTGTGTGTCTTGGCTTTTGTGAACAAAGCTGTCATGAGCATGGAGGGGGAGATATCTCTTCAAGATGCTGATTTTATTTCCTTTGGAGATATGCCCAGAAGTGGAATTGTTAGGTCATATGGTGGTCCATATGTTAGGTCATCTTTTTCATTTTTTGAGGAAACTCCATGCTGTTTTTCATAATGGCTGTACTAATTTACATTCCCACCAACAATGTACAAGGATTTTCTTTTCTCTACAACCTTGCCAACAATTCATTATCTTGTGATTTTGATAATACCATATAGTTTTCTTTTGATTAGTACTAGCAGGGTATATTTTTCTCCATCTCCCCCCCCTTTTTTTTGAGATAGTCTCACTTTGTTCCCCAGGCTAGAGTGCCGTGGCATCAGCCTAGCTCTCAGCAACCTCAAACTCCTGGGCCCAAGTGATCCTCCTGCCTCAGCCTCCAGAGTAGCTAGGACTAGAGATGTGAGCCACCATGACCGGCTAATTTTTTGTTTCTATTTTTAGTTGGCTGGCTAATTTTTCTTTTCTGTTTTCATAGAGACAGGGTCTCACTCTTGCTCAGGCTGGTCTCAAACTCCTGACCTCAAGTGGTCCTTCCACCTTGGCTTCCCAGAGTGCTAGGATTACAGGCATGAGCCACGGTGTCCAGCCTAAAGTGGATTTCTTATAGACAACATATTGTTGGGTCTTGTTTCATAATCCACTCTCACAATCTCTTTCTTTTAATGGATGTATCTAGACAATTGATGTTTAAAGGGATTATATAGTTGAATTAATATCTATTATGTTTGTTACTAATAGATTTTCTACTAATTGCCCTTGTTCTTTATTCCTATTTTGTCGTCCACCCTTTTTCTGCCATTTATGGTTTTTCCTGAGCATTTCATGTGATCCCATTTTCCCTTTTTTCTTAGAATATCAGTTATACTTCTTTTTAAACTTTTTAGTGGTTTCCCTAGAATTTGCAAATATACATTTACAACTAATCCAAGTCCACTTTCAAAGAACACTATACCACTTTCACAGGTAGTGCAGGTGCTTTATAATAACAAAATATTCCAATTCCTCCCTCCTGTCCTTTCTATTATTGATGCCATTCATTTCACTTATACATAAGCTATATTCATTGAATATTGTTGCTATGATTATCTGAACAAATTATTTGTTAGATAAATTAAAAATAAGAAAAATAAACGTTTCTATCTTACCTTCACTTATTTCTTCTACAATGCTTGTCCTTTCTTTATGTAGATCTGAGGTTCTCACCTGAAGAACATTTTAAAACATTTCTTGCAAGGTAGGTCGACTGGTGACAAATTCTCTCTCTTTTTGTTTGTCTGATAAAGTCTTTTTTTTTTTATAACTTTATATTTTTTACTCAGTTCCAAAATGCATCTGATAAAGTCTTTACTTCTCTTTTACTTTTGGAAGATAATTTCACAGAATACAGAATTTTAAGTTGGTGATTTTTTTCCAACATTTAAAATATTTCACTTTACTCTTCCTGCCTGCATGGTTTCTGACAAGGTCAGATGTAATTCTTATCTTTGCTCCTGTAGAGGTAACAAGCTTTTTCCTCTGGTTTCTTTAAAATTTTTTGTTGTTTTTATCTTTGATTTTTGCAGTTTGAATATGATATGCTGAGGGGTAGTCTTTTTGTTTTTAGTTTTTTGGGTTTGGCAGCACTTATCTTGATAAGTGATAAGTAATAAGTCTTTGAGCTTCCTAAGTCTGTGGTTTGGTGTCTGACATTAATCTGGGAAAATTCTCAGTTATTATTGCTTTGAATATTTCTCATTTCTTCCTTTCTTCTCCTTCTGGTATTTCCATCATGCATATGTTACACCTTTTGTACTTATTTCACAGTTTTTGCATATTATGTTTCAATTGCTTTTATTGTTCTTTCTTCTCTTTGCATTTTAGTTTGGGAAGCTTCTATGGACACATCTAGAAGCTCAGAGATTCTTTCCTTAGCCGCGTCTAGTCTACTGCTGAGCCCATCAAAGGCATTTCTCTTTGCTATTATGCTAACTTTGTTCTCCAGCATTTTTTTAAATTCTTTGTTAGAATTTTCACAACTCTGCGTTCATTGCCCATCTGTTCTTGCATGCCATCTACTTTTTCCCTTAGTGCCCTTAGTGTTTTAATCATAGTTGTTTAAATCCACAATCTGATCATTCCGACACCCCTGCCACATCTGAGTGTGGTCCTGATGCTTACTCTGTCCCTTCCAGTTGTGCTTTTTGCCTTTTAGTATGCCTGGTAATGTTTTGTTGAAAGGCAGACATGTCATAGTAGGTAAAAGGAACTGCTGTCAATAGGCCTTTAATGACATTGTGGCGAGATGTGGGGACAGGGGACGCAGTCTGCAGTCCTGTGTGGGGGTCTCAGTCTTTTAATGAGCCTGAAACTCTGGACTGTGAACCTCACACATGATGACCAGTTATCTCCCAGTAGGTGGGACAGGATGGTTGGAGAGGGCTGCCGCTGAGTATTTTCCTTCCCCCATAAGGCAGGCAGAGGATGAGTTGGCAGGAGTTGGCTATTTCCTCCTCCCAGATCAGCTGGGCTCTGATAAAACCCTAACTAGTTAAACAGTTTCTCCCGAGGGCAGGCCTTGTTAGGAGGAAGAGAATGCTCTGGCGCTACTTTTGACCAGGCACGGTGGCTCATGATGAGCCCTGTCACCCTAGCAATTTGTGGAGGCGGGAGGATTGCTTGAGGCCAGGAGTTCAAGACTAGCCTGAGCAACATAGAAAGAACCAACGCCCCCTGACCCCACCTCTACAAAAAAAGAAAAATTATCTGGGCATGGTAGCATACACCTGTAGTCCCAGCTATTGGGAGGCTGAGGCAGGAGGATCACTTGAGCCTAGGAATTTAAGGTTGCAATGAGGTATGATGGCACTACTGCACTCCAGCCTGGGTGACAGAGTAAGACTCTGTCTCAAAAAAAGGTTGCTTTTTCTAATCCCCTACTGAAAGAACAACTGGCTGAGCTCCTGGAGGTGCAATTCACAAAAGTGTGTCATCCCCACCCCCACCACTCCTCCTGGAACTCTCCAGGTTCCCTGTCCTGGCATGGGTTCTGCAGAGGTTTCTGCTCTGTGACGTTGTGATTCTACGTGTCTGCCTGTCTGTCCCTCCAATTTTGGGGGCTGCAGTTTGCCTTGTGACCTAATTTCTCTGACGGATCTAAGCAGAGCTGTTGATAAAAATCAACACTTTATGCAGCTTTTTACTTGCTAGGATGGAGAGATGGCTTCTAAGCTCTTTACCCATGGAGCTGAAAATTGGAAGTTCCACTTTATTGTCCAGAGTCCTCAGCTGCAATTCTGTACAGGAGTTTTAACTGAATTTAGTGGGAGAGAGAAGATTGAGTGTGCTATTCCATCTTTACTAGAACCTTTGTCCCCAGTTTGTTTTTTAGAACAAAATGCAATAAACATATGGCCAGAGAAAATATTAAGAAGATATTTTAACAAAATATTACCAGTTATTTCTGGGTGGTAAGATGTGGGTAGGTTTCTTATTCACTTTTTGGTAATTGCCAAATTTTCTCTAATGAGCATTACTTATACAATTAGGGAAAAATCATTAAACACTCATAAAATAATTAGGCATGGTGATCTCACATTCAGTGATCAGAAAAATTTCCACAGCATAAGTTGCAGACTATTTGGACAGAGAGAGAAGTCACATGAAGCATTCTCAGAGGGAAAAGCCAGCACCCAAATGATGAGAACATTCTCATTCCAGCCCTGGACATGTTATAGGCACACATGGAAGGAAGAGAACCAACACCATGCTGGTCCCTGCTCTTCACAGCAATGGGGTCTCGGGGCTTTGTTTATTTTACTTTTCATTGTCCATTTTATATTACCTAAATATTCCATTAAAATAAAAATATGAAAACCAAAGAAAGGAATCATTGCCACGGGCTCTTACAAAGGGCCCCAATACACCCAGCCCTTGGTTGGGCCTGGGACATACATATTGGCTGAGTAATAGCTTCCAAGAAGGTATGTCCATGTCCTGATCCCTAGATCCTGTAAATGTTATCTTCGTTAGGAAAAGTGTCTTGGCAGCTGTAGTTAAGGATCGTGAGGTGAGTAGGTCATCCTGGATTATCTGGGTAGGCCCTATAGCCAATAGTAAGCACCCTTACAAGTGACATACGAGAGAATAAACACACGCACACAGATGGTGATGTGGAGCCTTGGGCAGATAGATATTAGACTGATGTGGCCACAAGCCAAGGAAGCTGCAGCCACCAAAAGTTAGAAGAGGCAAAGAATGGATTATCGGGACGCCCTCTGACACCTTGATTTTGGCCTTCTTATCAAAACTGTGAAAGAATACATTTCTGTTGTTTTAAGCCACCAAGCTTGTGACAATTTGTTAAAACAATGAGAGGAAGCTAATAGACATTCAGAGAGGCAAGACTGTTGGCAGGTTGTCCTGTCCAGGCCAGCTCAGTCCTGTAGCCAGAGCGCAGGCAGGGCCCTCGCAGGGACAGGCTCCGACAGGCAGGAGACGTGTCCTTGGAGCAGGGATTCTTGAGAGACCCACAGCTATGCCATGAAAGTATCTCTGTTTTGTGTGTTACTCAGCTTAGTGTTGTGCCCTTTGCAACCTCGCACATCAGTCAGGATAGGTGAAGCCATGCTGCAATAACAAGGGACCCTAAACTCGTGGT